GACCCGCGGGCGCCCCCTCCTGGTCCGCGGGTCGGGGCCTGGAGATGGGAGGGGGCGTGGCCTGGAACGGGGGCGGAGCCTGGAGCGGGGCGGGGTGCAGGCCCCGAGAGGTGCAGGGGCACAAAGCCTGGATCTAGGGAACCCAGAGCTCGCTGAGCTCCTAAAGGAGCACTGCCTGCGGCCTAAACACCGACTCTATTCTTCTCTTTCTCTCTCTCTCTCTCTCTCAAGATATTTGAAGACGGGCACCGTGATGCACGCCTGTAATGCCAGCAGCTCAGGAGGCTGAGACAGGAGATCGAGAGTTCAAAGCCAGCCTCAGCGACTTAGCGAGCCTGTAAGCAACTCAGAGAGACCCTGTTTCCAGATAAGATATAAAAGTGGGGGTTGCTTAGTGGTTAAGTTCCTGGGTTCAATCTCCAGTACTGAGGAGGAGGAGGAAGAGGAGGAGGAAGAGGAGGAGGAGCTGGGTGTGGTGGGGCATGCCTGTAATCCTAGTAAGGGGGAGGCTTAGGTAGGAGGATCGCAAGTGAAAAATAGTAAGCACTGGGGCTGTAGCTCAGTGGTAAAGTATTCCTAGGTTCAATCCCCAGTATAGGAGAAGGACAGGAGGGGGAGGGGCGGAGGAGGAGGAAGAAGAAGAAGAGGAGGAGGGGAAAGACAAAGGGGAAAAAAGATGATTGAATAAAATTTTAAATAACTCACCCTTTTTTTTTTAAAAAAAGATATCTTTCTTTATTTGTTTTTTAATGTGGTGCTGAGGATCGATCCCAGTACCTCACAAATGTGAGCAAGCGCTCTGCCGCTGAGCTGTAACCCCAGTCCCAAATAATTCTCACTCTTGTCGCTGAACCCGTGGAGCCTGTAATTGGCTATGGTTACCCCTCCCTCCTTTCCTCCATCACCTTCAAGACTTTGAGGAAACCCTCCTGAATTCCTTCCCCAGCCTGCCCACCATGTTCTCCCGCTATTCATTTTTAAAAGTTGAGGTGAAACTTGAATCATTTTATTGAGCAGTTGTTATTACCTTCACAATATTGTCCATTCATTCTGCCTCATCTGTAAATAATTTAATCACCCCAAAGAGACCCCTGTCC